TTTGTCCTTGAAGAGGAATTCAAGCAAACCAGGAACTGAGACAGTGCAGGGTTCAAGTCGATTTGCATGTATTCTGCACTGCTGATTTGCTGTCGAAATGAATTTTACCTCTGTTTAGCCTGGGAGAGCGGGGAGATCATTCATACCAAGTAATTACTCCGTCTCCCTTCAAAGAAACATGAAGATCTCTTCAAGATTTGGTTCAAAATGATTTTAAATTGCTGTGGCCTTCCCCAGTTTCCTGGGGAAAACCTGTTCCTTTTGCCTGTCTGATACTGTTTCTCTCCTGAACATATTTAGAGTGGAAGGTGGAAAGAGCAGCTCTTACCTGTACAGGTTGTGGCTGAAAAATGCCCCCTCTATGCCTGTTTTTCACTTCAGAGTGTGCTTTATTGCAATTTGGATGTTGCTCTGCAGGATAAATATTTGGGATTCTCACCTCCTTTGTTCCTTACTAAAAAATGGACGCTGCTGAAGGTAAATTGGGTAGGAAAAAAATGGAAGGTGATTGAAAGAAGTAGTGCTCCAGGCTGGGTATAATTAACTGCTCTTTGTCTCCTGCATGCAGGACAAGTCATGGCTTAGTCTGTTTGCTGGTGGGGAACTCCCTGCAGTGGGCATGGCTGAGCACGAGGAGAGGAGAGAGTGGCCCTTGGCAGGGGATCTCCATCATGGGGACTCGCAAAGCCAAGCAAATCCCTACAAAATGGGAGGCAACTTATTTTCCATAATGTGGTTAAGAACAGTCTTAGGGGCAGTTTTCCTCGTTTAACAGCGGTCTGCATCTTTAGAATTAGATCTTGCTGTGAAGTCTGGCTGGAATAGGATGAAGAACAGGGGAAAAAACAAAACACCTTGAGCACTGTGCTTGGACGGGTGAGGAAGATGATGGTCCAAAGTTTAGTTCTCTGCAGTGAGCGAGCGGCTGGTGTTGCAGGGGAGCGCAGCCTGTGCTGATGGTTGGGGCAGTGCCCCTTCCCCAAACACGGGTTCATTGCCAATAGATGTAAAAACAGTCATTACAAGATGATCTGGGGTTTACAGCTTCCTCAGCCCCTTCTTAAATAGGTCTTGAGTCAAACAGTTGCTCCTTCTGCCTCTCCAGCGCAGGGGACATAGGGGACGTTCAGGCCTATCCATGTAAGCCCTTTAGGCTTCTGTTTACGTCTGCCTGAAACAGAAGAGGCTTTTGAATGGGGTGAAACAGCTTGGCAGAGGGGGCTGCTTGTTCCCCTTGAAGGACAGAGATGTTGATAGCTGCAGTCAGGCTTCCTCCAGGGAAACTCTTTATTCCAGAAATCTGAATTGTAGTTACAGCTGTCTTTCCCTTCAGAAAACCAGGAGCCCATGGGCGACGGGCTGATGCCTCTTTCTCCTTCCAGTGTTTGCCTCTCCTAGAGTTTGTCTTCCTGAGGTCTCCCATGCTCATCAACTACGTCATCCCTTTTCCAGTAGAAACAGACTCCTTGTATCCCCCCTCTTTGGCTGATTCCTTGCAGGAATGGCCTGTACTTACGTAGCTGGGGTTATATGAAAAGGAAGAAAAGCCTTTTGCCAAGAAAACTAGGAGAGGAGGCAGTCATCTTCCTCGCCCCCTTCTCGAGCTGGGCAAGGCTTCTGGCTCTGCAAGCGTGGAACGTACAGCATTTCTGAGAGCCGGCAGAATAGAGAGGCTTGAAAGTACAGTAAAATGAGTTTGCCATCAAAAGGCAACAAGTCTTATGCTGTGCCCCCGGCTGCTGACCTTTCCCTCTGGAATTCTCCCCTCTGACCTCCGGATCATTAATCCTGATGCTGCCAGATGACAGTAATCCATCATGGCCCCTGACAAGCCTTGCAGCCGCCTGTGAAAGGATCCGCTCGGCTTCAGCATCCAGTCGTCCCATGATACTCGTTTTTCAGCCTTTCCTGTTTGAGCGCTGGGGGTTTCCAATAAAGACTTTATCGCCTTGCCTTTCCTCGGAGCGGGGCTGGGGGAGGAGAGGGCGGTGAGAGCAGCCTTGCCGTGCTTCTCGGCTCTTCTGCGGCCAGATCCCATGAAACCTGCAGAGCCCTGGCTTGCTCTGGAAAGTACAGTTAATTTACCAGGTCCGAAACCCAAATTACTCTTCGCTAGCTCTGGGGGATGTTACTTGGAGTGGTAACATGAGAAAGCAGAAAGCATGGGAGGAAAATGATTGCATCTCTGTGCTCAAGTGCTAGAAGGATGGAGGGAGTTTTGTCCCTGCTATAAAGAAATTTTATGGGGAGAAGAAGAAAAAAAAAAAAGCTGTAGGCTTTAGCGTAGTTTATAAAGCTACTAATTAAATTCCGGGGCACTTTGGTCTGTGGGTCTTGTTTAAAAGCAAACTTCAGGAAGGGAAGGTGCCAAAGGGGTAGTAACGTAAGGCAGGGAGGTCAGATCTGATGGCTGTTCCTACTCCAGCCATGAGCAGGCTCTCTGGAAATATGTTTAAGCCTTTATTTCCCACTGATGTAGATAATACTTGTCCCTGTCACAGGAGCATTTGGATAAATACACTTGTGTACCTTTTCAAATGCTGAAATGGGAGACTAGAGAAGAGTAGAGCTGTGTTTAGGATAAATGCAGTATATTAAAAAGTCAATATTTCCTTATGGTTCTGTATTAGTGGCTTGTTTGCCTGAGGAGCCTTACCCATGACCCTTCCCTTTCACTCTCCATCTGGTCACTGTCCAAGGAGAGCTGGATGAAAGTCCCTTCTGGACAAGTTAATGCTATTCCCTAAATTGGATTGGGGAAAAGTGGGTGGCTTTGAGCAGCGCGGGGTTGCTGGGGGAGAGGGTCTTGGTCCTGCCGCAGTGGAGCAAAGGCTTTGCTGGCAGCGCGGTGCCACGTGGGACACCCCGGCTTTCCTTGCTGCTGGGGCAGAAATGCTGAGCTGCTAATGAAGGGGCATTTTGGGGTGGAAAGAACCACCCTTGGCTCTTGCTAGAAACCTCGGAGATAAATATTTCCCCGCTTTTCATTTGGAGCGGGCTGGGTGTGACTGGTTGCTGTGGCTCAGCTGATGAATGATAACTTAAGGCTGGTAACATGATCACTCCCAGCCCTCTGTTGTGTCTGAAATGATGCTGTTAGTGTGCTCTTAATCCTTGCGATAACCCACCGAGACAAAATGGTGGCTGAGGAGAAACCAAAGCAAATTGAGGCTTGCGTTTACACGGGCTGGCCTTTTGGGAGGGACCAGCTCCTGGTTTGGGGCGGCCTGCTGGGACGGATGGAGCCGCAGGGCATTTAAACAGTTTGGCAACGTCTCTATCTCTGCTCCCCGAGGGAACCGTTGTCTCTGAAATGCAGGAAGAGGATCTGATGCAGTTTGTGAAATTACTGCTTGGTGGACTTTTCTGTTGTGGACGGGGAAGGGGTTGTTTAGACAAGGCAGGGAAAAGAGGATATGATAGATATAAAATGACGGAGCCTGCAGCCCCAGCCTGATCAGGTTACTCTTTGTGTTTTCTTACAGTTTAAGGCTTCGTAACTTGGTGAAATGGAAGGCAGCCCTTTTAAAGCTGAAAAAGTTTACTTTTTCTATCCAACATCTCATTAACCTGTGGGAATTGGTACCGTGAGCTAATGCATAACAGGCTTCAAAAAGAGAAGAGGGAGAAAAAAAAAATGGCATGTACATGTCTAATGAGGACATCTGCAGAGCTGAGCTGAACTCCTTTTCACTAAACAGAATAAAACCCATTTATAAGGGCCATAAACTGCTCTGCTTCGGGGCATTAACCGAATCGCTGGCTGATGAGCAGTGGCAGAAGTCTCCCCTGTGGGTTGGGTATTCCATAATTGTCCATTACAGCGCTTCGCAGGCTTTCCTGTAAAGGCTGGTGCTGACCATTGTGGCAGGCAGGATACTGACCTCAGATGGACAGCTCTTTGATCCGGGACAGTATTTCCTATGCAAAATAAAAGGTTTGCTACATCAGCGTTTTTTCCCCCTCTTCCTCTCCTTGCCTAAATCTCATTAGTTTGACCTTTTCAAACCCCACACGCTTTATCACTTGAAGGTGCTGCTAAAAGGGCACTATCAGATTAAAAGCCAGCTTTTCCTACCTCTCTTAATCCACAAGATGACGAAACCAAACGGGAAGGAGAGCTGCTTCCCTGTCTATCCTCACAAGGATAGAGCAGGACCTTGGTTCAGGCACCAGGAAGTGCTTGGATGCCCGGTGCTTCTCCCAGCAGCCCCGAGGATGCCCGGCTTTGCGATGCTCCGCTATGCTGCTCGTTGGTTCACCTCCACCATCCGCACGATTTCTCTAGTTTTCTCACGACAAGTTGCTGCTGCAGCAGCTGGGCTGGTACCGAGGTACACGTGCGGCCTTACTGGTGTGTCAGTCGGGAGCGTGTTCAGGGAGGAGGAGCGGGAGGGAGAAAACGCTTTGCGAGGGCAGAAGCTGTAGCAAAAACGGTGCGCACGTGCTTGTGAGGGAGGACAGAGGTAAATGACGTGGGGGAGGGAGGTGCTCTCGAGTGTCACGTACCCTTTTCTGTCGCTGTTCCCAAGCCGCACAGGACAGCAAATCCTGGGGAGCGAGGGAGCAGAGTCCCGACGTAAGAGTAGCTCGAGTTGCCTGGCTGCTCAGCCCCTTCCTGAGCACAAGCAATACAGATTTTTATCTGAGACTGCCCTGGGAGCTCATAAAAAATGATTCCTCTGTGCTGCTCCCTCACCCCGAGGATTGAATAGTCCCTACTTCCCCTCTTTCTATTTTAGAAGTTGCTCCTAGCTGCAGGTTATTATTTGTCTGATAATTGCTTTGCCTACAGGAAAGGATTTTTCGTGAGGAGGACGTGCCATGCAGCTACACTTCACTGGCTCATTTACTCACCCATCGAGAGGCCTCAAGTCAGGCTACAAATAGAGTTGCCTGAATTTCCGATTAGAAAGAAGATCGATAGCCCCAACCTGACGGTTTCCTTGGCCTCATTTTCTCTCTGACTCCGTGTTTCCTTCCCTGCTGTTTCCCTGCAGGAACTCCCATCAATCGGATCCCCATCATGGCAAAGCAGATCCTGGATCTCTACATGCTCTACAAGCTGGTGACTGAGAAAGGAGGGCTGGTGGAAATCATCAACAAGAAGATCTGGCGAGAGATCACCAAAGGCCTTAATCTGCCCACCTCCATCACCAGTGCCGCGTTCACGCTTCGAACCCAGTAAGTCCAGAAGGTTTAACGGCGTGGACGTGAACGCAGAGTGGGGACTGCAAAGCAGGGACTGGGGTGGAAGCAGAGTTCTGCTCTGCAGCCAGGGAGCAGCTGATAAATTGCTTTATTTACCCCTCTCACCCGACACTTGCAGTTTTTCCTTTCTGTTCCTTCTCGTCTCGTTGCTCTTAGCAGCGGTTCTCCCTGAACTCCTTCCCCTTCCCTCCCTACCACCCCGGCACTAACATGCCATCGCCTTGTTCACTGTGCTCTGCCCATCCCTCCATCCTGTGCCTTTCTTGCCTCTTCAGAGCTTAAATTCCTCGGGGCAAGGAGGGTCTTGCTCTGTCTCTGAAGAGCACTTGGCACAGCGAGGAGGAAGGGAGGCCTCCTGATTTGTAGGCATCAAGGAGGGACTTTATCATTTGATACCTGTTATCACTACTAAGTTGCAGAAACCGGCATTTAGCACCTACGTACTGTGAGGGCTTTTCTGACCTGCAATACCTCACGTTGATTAGGCAAGGAAAACCAAAAAAAAAAAAAAGGAAGAAAAAGTAAATAGGTAGAGGAAAAGGAATGGTGAAAGTAAACCTACTGTAAAATGTAAGCACCAGGGTGAAGCTGTGCTTTAGTGACCCGAGCATGGAAGGCTGGGCTCGAGGAATCCACAGCCAGCTCTTATACAGGCTCAGTTTTCTTGGAAGTTATTAGAGCCCCTGTGTCCCAGAGAGGGAAGCTCCTTGCTATTTCTACAGCCTTTGGTACAAACGTGTGTGTGCCAGAGTACAGCAAAAGCAGTAAGGTTTGGTGCTGCCCAATACATGTGACTTGGACGAGGGTAATTCCTCAGACTTCCTCCTTTGTGTTAGGGGTTAACGGTCCAAGATCTTAATTCTTATGATTTTTAGATGGTGTGTCAGTTGTAAAGGAGTTCTGGATGATTCTTTTTTGCCCTTGTGGGTGTAGTAGTATGTAACTATGTGCTTCCCTATAAACACTGAGTAAACTCAGAGTTCCTTTGCGAGAGCTGTGCTTCCCACCCAAACTGCTCAACGCTTATCAAACCGAGCACAGCGGCGGTCACGATATGCAGACAAAGACTCCAGATCTGCGGAGGACCTCCGGCTGAAAGTCTTCCTGAATGCAGTGCTCGGTGCTGTAGCCTATAATTTCATGTTCTATCGAGAAACCTACTTGAGTTTCCCTGTGCTCGCCTCTCTCCCAGGTACATGAAGTACCTATATGCCTACGAATGTGAGAAGAAATCCCTCAGTTCTCCTGCTGAGCTTCAGGCTGCGATCGATGGCAACAGGCGGGAAGGCAGGCGGCCCAGCTACAGCTCCTCTTTGTTCAGCTACTCGCCCACCACCACGGGGCCTCCTTCCCTCCTGTCTCCCCCAAAGATCCGCTTCCCCATCATCGGCGTCGCGCCAGGCAGTGGGACCAGCAATCCTCGGGTGTCTCCAGCAGCAGCTGTCAGAAAAGGTCAGCTACTTGTACTCGCAGCGAAGAGGGAGGCCGAGTTAAGAGGTGCAGGCACTGAAACGCAGTTGTTTCCCATTTTGTCCACCCAGGCTGCTTTGGACTGGAGAGCGGTGGGACTTGGGTGGCTCAGGGTTTGCAGAACGTTCCACCCGCGGTTTAAACCTTGGTGCGCTCGCTTTAGGAAGAGCTGTGGGAGGGACTAAGTGACTGTCTTTCTAGGTGACGGTGTGCCCTTGACTGTGTCTATGCCAAATCGTATTGCTGTGCCAGTGACCTTGGCTAGCCAGCAGGCAACTGTGGCAGCAAGAACAGCCACCCTCGAGCAGCTGAGGGAGAGACTGGAGTCGGGAGAGCCCCCGGAGAAGAAGGTCTCGCGGATGACGGAGGAGGAGCAGCGGCTTGTCCAGCAGGCTCTTCAGCGCAACCTGTTCAGCATGGCGCGGCAGATCCCCATGAAGATCAAAATCAATGGCAAGGGTAAGCAGCTCCTCTAGGTCCGCCAAAGGCCTTTGCAGGCTGCAGCAGGGAGGGAATTGCTCCCAGTCTAGGATGTCAAACACCTCTTTACACGCAGGCTTGATTGCTTCTGGGGGTACCAGACAAAGGTCCCTGTCTAGAAGCTGTTAAAATGGAGCACAATAACTGCAAAGCTAAACTGTAGCAATATTTTGTTGGTTTTTACTTACTGCTGCTGTTTTTATTCTATTCTTGTTGATGCATAATCCAGCCTGGATTCAGAAGCACCTTAGCTGTGTTCAGAAAGCTCTGCATCTAAGCTGATAAAACCCACTTGACCCATAACAAGACCCTTACTCTTGAGCTTCTGACCTCCTGTGTTGATCACGGTGAGATTGCTTCAGGACTCAAGCTCTAACGTCTCCACAGAACTTGCACTGTGGGGAATTGCCAGTTTCAGGTGACGTTAGCTCAGCTGCCCTTGCAGCAGTGCTCTGTCAGTGTGCTCCTGCCATCATGGGAAGCGCATGGGTTGGCTGAAATGACTTTGGGCCACGTGTCTGACCCCCTCACGTTTAATACCTGGGGTCCACTTCAGATCCATGGTTTAGCCTAGCCAAAGGCAGCCCTGTGGTTCTGCAGTAAGATGACTTTTGGAGGGGAAGCCCATCATGTGCCAGACTCTGAGCTTTCCCCTGATCTCATCTGAGCCTTAGGCCAGCATTGTGCTGCAGGGAGTGATTTTCTCTCCTTTCCTGGTCAGGAACCCTTTGAATTGATCGTGGAGGTAATAGCTTTTTCTGTATGGGTAGCAGACTGCAGGAGACAGGGAAGAGAGATGCCCAGCTTTTAGGAATCCTTTGTCAGGTGTGATGAGGAGGCCACAAAGACCTGTGTATCTGCAGGGGGCCCTACGCATCTCAGGGCTTTTAGCAAGTCAGGTGATTTCTACCAACATCTGCTGCAACCCTACGCACAGCCTCCAGGCAAAGAACTCCTGGCAAGGCTGGGTTAGAAGGTCACATCTAAGCAGCATTCATGGCCTGGGAAATGCACTCCTGAAATGCTTTGTAAAAGGGGAGTCACCCCGTAAAGGTCACATTGTCAGAATCAATACTGTTATACAGTGGCTTCAAAAGCTGATTAAGTGCCGTGGCTCCCTTACCTGTCCCGGGGGCTGCACTTCACTGGACAGGAAAGCCTCAGAAAATTTCAGTCCCAACAGCTGCTTCCTCCAAACCTTTTGATCCATTAAAATTAAAGGTCCCAGACCCCCTATTAATTGTACACTTGGATGTAGGCACAAGGCCAGGCAAGTTTGGCATGGCTTAGAAGAAAGGGAAGAGCTGTTCTTGAGGCCTTTGCTAGCAATGCTGGTAAATGCTCTGTTGAGGCGCTTTGCCATAAATATGTATGGCAAAGGGTCAAAGCAGGTTCCTCTTTGAAGCAGTAGCAGCTCGCTGCAGAGTCACGTGGGATTGGGACTTCACATCACAGTTCCTGAGAGCTGCACATCCACCAAAATGTCACATTTAGATAATAACAAAACCAAAGGGAATACAAATTTTGTCAAGGGATGTTCGTTCCCTCTCACCTTACTTTGTTGGTTTTGTTTTTTTCCCTCCACCCTGAACTTCCTAAATCAAAGTGTGCTAGGAACAATTTTAGTCTCTACAAATAGTAACAGGCTGAGAGCTGAGCCCTAAGGATTCAGTGATACTATTCCCACCTCTGTTAGCTGACTGTGGGCGAGTCTGTCCAGTCTTTCATGCTCTGATTTTCCCAATTGCAAAATAAAAATAGTATTGTGCTTCGTAAAGTGTTGAGAGGCACTTTTGGAAAGCACCACGTGAGCTTACCATAGCTTGATAGCAACATCTAGGTTAAATGTTAACAATGGCCGTAGCATTCTTTACAGGGACCGTGGACGTGTTGTCCTAGCAGACTCGAAAGGAGCAGAACCCACGCACTTTACATGCACTGCCGGAGCCTGAGCAGACTGTCTGCATAATCCCTCTCTGTTTTAATAGCCCAGTGCCCCAAAACCAACATTGGGTGGGCTGGTAACCATGATACGGCTGTGCAAACTGCGGGCGTGCATTCAGGAGCGCAGAGAACAGCCCTGCAACCCAGGCTCACGGTTACCGGTTGCTTAGGGTGGAGGTTCAGAAGTGCCTGGGAGAGCTTGACCTTCAGCTCCCCTTAACCAGCAGTGTCGACTGAACCCCGGCTCTGCACTGACACTTCCAGAGCTGCCCCTCATGGCTTAGAAAGGGCTCTTGCAGCTGAGGACGCAGGATAAAACAGCTTTCACGCCAAGCGTAGCATTCCTGGGTTTGAGTCCTTGGCGCTGTGGGTAGTCCCCTCCCTCCAGCGGCCGCTGCAGCTGCTGCAGTCTGAGCCCTGCACACGGTGGTCCCACCACCTCCCCGAAAACCCCCCACCCCTCAGCCAAGGGATAGAGGACGTGCAGGTGCTCCCAGTCTGCTGTGACCGCACTCACAACCCAGCCGATTTAAACGGGGTCTTCTCTCTGTGCTGGCAGCTTTGGCTTTGGAGGGGGTGTTAATTTGGGCCTCCAGTGCATGAGGCAGTGAGAGATTTGGAAATGCCAGTGGGCTCCCAGCCTATCCTCGGTTCACACTGGAGCACCTAAATGCCTTTGTAGAGTTATGATAGGACTGGAAGTGGGCATCGTGAGGAGATTTCCTCCCCAAAGAGGGGACAAAAGGAGGGCTGTGTCCACCTTTGGTCACCTCTGGGTAGTGGAGGGAACAGGACAGTTACTGTCTAACTCTGCATCTCTTCTGTCTTGAAAGAAGATAAACCAGACTCGGCGGCGGCGGCAGCACTGAATTTGTCACCTAACGGCATTGGGAGTATTAACATGTCGGTGGAGATTAACGGCACAATTTACGCTGGTGAGAAAGAACCGCTCCCGGGGCTGGGTAGAGAGCTGGGCTGGCGGTGCAGAGCAGGACGTGGGGAGGGTGGCGTGCTCCCAGGGGCTGGTCTTTGCCAAAGCATAGAAGTCTGCCTTAGAAAGCTCAGGAGGAGATGATTTCTGGGGTTTGGGGGTGGGTTTTTGGTGTTTTTTTTTTTTTTGGTCCTGGGCAGTCAAGATGAGTGCCCTTTCCTTGTGGCGGTGGTGGTTGTTCGCCTTTTTAAAATCTACGGGAAGGGACTTCTCTAGAGGTGTGAGTAGGAAGGAGTATTATCCCTCTTCTCCTGCTGAGGCCTGGCTTTATTCAGCTTTTCCTCGTGCGTCTCTGGGAAGCGCAAACTGCTGTCCCCTGTACTCTGCTGGAGCCGTGTCACTTCTGCGGGTCACACACATGCATCCTCGGACAAAGCCCGGGGGGAGCCCTGGCACTGCAGTGCAGGGGAAGTCGCTTCTCTCCCCTGAAGGTGTTGAAGCCATTTGGGATCTTTGTCTTCTGTAAGCACAACATCCCTGTGACCGAGGCCACCAGAACAAGCCCTTTCTTATATCCTGGTCACCGTTGACCCTCTGATCTGCCTCCAAGCCTGCTTGTCCTGCACTGAGCCTCTTTCTGTTGGGATGAGATCTTTGGGGTGGCATAGACTGCTCTTTACTCTGTACCCTGTGCTTCTCAGCCGTGCCACCCCCTAGTCCCAGTAACCCTTCTCTTTACCTCTCTCTGCCTTGCAGGAGTGCTCTTTGCCCAGAAGCCAGTGGTCCATCTCATTGCAGGCTCCAGCACCCAAAGTTCCTGCAGCAGCAGCAGCAGCTCCCACTGCTCTCCCAGCCCTACCTCATCCCGGGGAACCCCCAGCGCAGAGCCCTCCACCAGCTGGTCTCTCTGATGGACGGCCGAGCCTGCTGTCTCTCACACTGGCCTCCGGCAGCTCTTCCTCTCTGCTTTCGGCAGGGAGCGAGCCGGGAAGGAGTCGCACAGATTACCTCATCTCAAGGAACCTGCTTTTGTGGTTGGCCAACGGCAAGATGATGATGATGCTGAAACCTTTCCATGCCAGCGAGTTTTTCTTCATCGTCTGTTTGTCCAGCCTTTTTCTTTGTTCTCCCCTTTCTTCCTCCCTTTTGCTTTTTGTTTTCTTCCTCCTCCTCCCAAGGTTTGCTGTGTTCCTGTTGGGGGGTGGGACATGGAGGCGGCGGGGCTGGGGGGGGACACATGCCTGGCGTTTTTCAATCAGGGATCGTCTCTAGGAGCTGCGGGTTGAGAGATGGCTGAGACGTCACCAAGGCAGGTGGAAAGAGCTGAAGCTGGGGCAGGGAAACTTGCTTCTCCTCAAACCAGTAGCCACAAGGACTCTTGCCACAAAACAACTCCGTGTGTTGACAATCCTAAGAGCCGGCAGGGTGCCTTGCCCCTGTCCTCCCGTGGCCTGTGCTGCAGAAGGCCGTGCGGCTGCAGGGCAGGCAGGCTGCCTCGCTTTTCTTCTTCAGGCTCTTGTCGTGGTCCGCTGTTCGTACGTCCTCCCGTAGAACACGTGCTCTTGGCTTGTGAGCCTCCTTCCCCCTCTGCGAGGCCTTGGCAAGAGGAAAAGGACTTTCTCACCGTTACGTTTGACCCATAGACACATTAAAACCCTCTTGTTCAGCTGCTTTGTTCTCCTGGCTGGTGCTGGCCTCTTCCCTACTGTTGCCTTCTTGAGGCTTTCAGCCAAGTTTTAAATGCCCTCAACCTTGTCTCTCTCCCCTTAAGGATCTCATCCCACTGACATTTAGCCTGAACTTACCGTGTCTTGGCGTTTTGATCCTCTGCCCCCTCGGCACAACTGAGGCTGATCTAGGCTTCCTGGAGCGGCTTCCTTCTTGTCGGGGGTCTTTCAGGAGCCCCGGGAAGCTCCCTGCCTCCGTGCGCTGAGAAAACAGAAGGTGATCCCCAAAATCTCGTTCCGTGGGGCTGCGGTGTGAGGGCAGGCGTTGCGGTTAATGTTACACACGCGCCTTTTCGTCGCGCTCTGAACAAGCCTAGGGAAGCCCTGTCCCCTTCAAACTGTACGTGAGCCAAAAGGAAGCGGCTCTCAGTTGAGTAGGACCTTTTGCTCTCCTGGGTGGAAGCAGAGAAATGGAAGTCAAGCCCTTTCCCTTCAAACCTCTGAAGACTGGCCCTGGCTCTCCTGTGTCCAGAGCCACCCAAGATGACTTAGTGACCCCACGAACTCAGCTCCTGCTGAGGTGGCCTCCTGCTGTCCCCTCTCTTCTGGCCTTTCCCACACGTGCTTTCCCCAGCCTGGAGCTCAGGTCCAAGCACCATCCATCCCATCCTGCCCTGGTGACGTCCTTCCCATCCTTCAGGCCCAAGTCAGGTTTTTTTGAGCAGATGAAATACCTCAGATATGTACTTGTTGTTGGGTTTTTTTGTTTATTTTGGGTTGGTTTTTTAACCTCTTCAGGAAGTATTGGCATATCTTATCGCTTGTTTTTATATGTGGTTTTGCTGACATTGTGTTTATTTTTTTTTTTATTTTTAATTGTATCACCAAAGACAAAGTAAAAAAGAAAAAAGGCTGAGCAAAAGAGCAGTGGCTTCCCCATCCTTTAGGCCAGCAGGAGCTGAGCTGAACAGCCTTGTCCCAGGACATGTGCACGACCCAGGAGGCCAGGTAGAGGTAGGAAAAGAGGGCAAAAGGGACTACTTACTGAGATCTGTCCTTCATGTTGGACACGAGGGTGTCTCCCAAGTCCCTATTATTTTTCCAAGCTCCAGGGTCTGCGCTTACCTCAAGCAAAGCTGCTTGGTGCAGCTGGGAGGTGACAGCACTGCTTACACTACAGATCGGCCGAGCCTCTTGCGGGGCGGTGGCTTCTGGCACCTGGAAGCACCGCTTGGCCTTGCGGTGCTGCACCCAGCCGCCTCCTCGGCTGTGCTGGGACGTTGTTACTGCAGACAGTCTGCGCTACAAGACTGAGCCCTGTTGGGTGGAGAGAGCACCAAAATCAGTTATTCACCCGTACGTAGGTGCCTGTGTGACAACCACCCGAGCTAGTAGCTATATTGTGATGCAAGTGACAACCATGCTACAACGCCAGAGGTTCAGCCCGCTACAACTCTGTTTCCCAGAGCGTGGTGGGTGAGTTGCCATATGTCATACCAACGTGAGGGGAGAAGGTCACCTTTTATCTGCTCCCACAGGTGAGCAGAGCTGTTGGGAGCATGGAGCTCTGTGCAGGACGAGGGGCTGGAGGCGCTGTTGCCGTTACAGGCTGTGCCTGCCTGCACCACTGAGCCCAAGCTCAGCCTAGAAGTATCTGTCCCTTCCCTGCTAGCTCATTTCTGTGCGATTTTACAGTCCAGGGGAGATGCCCTCCTGTAAATACCTCTGGTTAGCTGTGGCGCGCTCCCTCTGCTCCCAGCAGCTGTTTATTTGATACTACTGAAAAGACCATGGCTTTAAAAAACACCGGGCCAGACACCACCATGGGGAAAACCCCATCGTCACCCTGAGGCTTGCGTTGTAGAAAGCGAAATGAATAATCCTTCCTTTAAACTCTCAAATGTCAGGTTCTCCTTTTTAATCCCCCGGCAGTACTCGGCTGGGCTGCTGCTCTGTCCTTGAGAGCCGAGCGCTCGTGCGCAGGCTCGTGCGCAGCACGGGTGGGACTCCCTCGTTGCAAGAGGCTCTGTGCTCTCTGGGTGTTTTGTACACTATGGCTTGAGTTATCCAGCTGCCAGACAGCTTGAGGGCTTGGTGGGAGGAAGAGGGAACGCGGGTGAGAACACACATGTCCTGAGATAGATGCTGCTCTGAGATGTCTCGTCTCCAGCTGCTTTTAGCCAGAGGAGTGGCCACGGGCACGGGGAAGCTGAGCTGCTCTTTGGCTGCCGCATGTGTGCTCGGCAGATCCCGCAGGTCTCCACTGCATTTCATCCTCACAGGCTCGGAGAGGATTTTCCAGACTCTGGGGCTCATTCAGATTGGGGTGGGTTTTTTCCCCTTTTTTGTTTTTATGGTTGTTTTTTTAAATTTTATTTTATTTTATTCGGGGGTGGGTTTGGGGGCTGTTTCCTGCGAGTGGGACTGGGGCACTTTTTGCTTTTCCTTATGCTTTCTTCTCTGGTCCTGGGGAGCAGAGGTTAGTAATGGGTGGTTTTGCTTATGTATCACATGCTAACATTGTGTTTTCTTGCACAGAAAGGCACTCGAATCACTGAACTGCTAAACAGCTTTGACACTACTAGAGTATTAATGTTTATAAGCTTTACACAACTAGACTGGAAATAGACAGGGACTAACAGATTGTTTTGTATCCAATTCAGGGAAAGAATCAAGTTGGGATGCGTAACAGATACCTCAGTAAAAATAAGCTGCAACAATAAACTGGTCCTTTCTCAGCACAGGCTGAGGAGGACCAGCCATTCAGACTGTGAAGAGTAACCCTTTCCCTCAGCCTGGCTTTGATGCCGGCAGTTGGCTTAACGCGCGTTTCGCCCAGCTCCGCATCTCCTACTGAGCTGCCAGGCTTTGGGGACAGGGTTATGGGAACCAGCAGCAGAGATGGGGCGGAGGAGCCGGGAGCTGGGGAAGGCTGAGCAGGGGCAGTGGATGCCCCCGCTTCTCTCCCCGGCTCCGCTTCATTTCACTCGACCGTGTTCGATTGTATAGTACTCAGGGGTTTTGATACTGCGGGTAGGACTGTTCCTCGTGTGAAGTGCTCCGCTTTGCAGTGTGGCTAATTCTCTTTCAACTCCAGACCAGCGAAGGTTTTGTAGTGAGCAGCCAAAAAAATAAAATAAAGCCCCCAGCTTGCTTCCGTGCAGCCTTGATGCTCCTGTTTCAGGGGGAGATTTGCCAGCTGGGTTCGATGCCCAACTGGGGGGGGAAAACAAACAAACAAAAAAATAAGAAAACAAAAAAACGAAACCAAACCTGCTTGTCCTCTTCCAGCAGATCCCAGTTCATGCTGGGAAGGCACAAAGATTGTGAGCTGGGAAGCGGGGAGGAGCTGAGGGGGAGGCTGCGCGCCTGCTCGGCTCCCAGAGTGAATGTGAACGTGTCACACCAAGTCCTTTTGGCCGCTGCGTGCGTGCGTGTGCGCTCCAAACGGCTTCAGATCACAAGATGTTTTCACCAAACAGCTGCAGCAGCCTTGCTACTAGTTTTCTTACCTATTTAAAAAAAAAAAAAAGAAAGAAAAAAAAAGAAATGTGATAGCCTAGGCGGTGGATAAATACCTCAACGTCTCCTTCCAACAAGTGTCTGTATATGTTGTTGTTGGGTTTTTTCTATCTTACACGTTATCTGAATGTTTATATTCCAATAAACTTCTACCTCTTCACACGGTGATCCCACAAGCCTGATTTGTGGCCGTGCTCAAGTGCGAGTTAAAGATTTCGCAGCCCCTTCTCCATCCCAGGAAAAGTATTCCCGGAGGTTGGGTCAACCTAGATGAGGTCTGTGTCCTTGCAGGACTTTCTGTTCCCAGTCTGTACCTTTGTGGGGAGAACTGGGGGTGTAAACCTCGTCTGGTGTGATGCAGTTTTGGAGTGGGGGCTAGAGAAGAGCTGGGTAGCTGTGGGATGAAATGAGGGGGCTTCCAGGTTGGATGCTGGTTGGGAAACCCTCTCCACAGGGCTCTGTGGGAGGACAGGTGAGGTGAGTTCTGGTGATCTCCTTTCCCAGGCATTGCTGGAGGGGTCACAGCTGCAGCTCTACCTACCCTGGGTCCCTTACCCAGCCCCGGCTCCGCTAGGGCCAGGCTGGGGCAGGAGCCGATCTCTCAAATCCCTCCCGTGTCGCCGCCTCCTCCACACAAAAAGGACGTTTAATGCTTCCCAACGGTTTCACTGTTTACACAGGACCTGACGCTGTTTTTTCCAGTCATTGAACCAGTTGGGCAGTTAGAGAGCAACTGGTTTCCAGCCCTTTTTGTACCAGTGTTTCTGATGCCCCAGTGTCTGCGTTTGTTTTGGCCGGTGGCCCATCTGCGGCAACTGGGTGCCGGAACGGGGCCTGGCACGTGACCTTCCCCATCCTCCCACCCAAGGCCAAGCGGGAAAAC